AAAAACTGAAAAAAGTCCTTAAAATGTAATAGAGTGATTAAAATAAAAACATACTTGAAATCTCTCCATTCCCATTTTCAACTGCATTTTATATTCTTCTTTCGTTTTATGTATATTAAATGAATCTATTTAGTAGCAATCGCAACGAAACCAGCCTGTCAAAGCATTACAGTAGCCACCCCGGAATCCGTTACTTCTACAATGTCTGTTACATTCATATTCGTCTCTATTATGAGGACCACTGCAGCCAAATCCACGACGAATACAAACATTGCGTCTGTTTCTGAGAGCCAACATGCCGTTATCCACTTGGGAATTTTCACGATCTAGATTTAGACAATTATTTATCATGTTCAACAAATTTTATACTAACAAATGGTTTTTGGATGCGCATTGACAAAAATGCTTGCTACTATTCCAAATATGATCGTAACAGTAATGAAAAACTTTAAATTGATCATCATTGCAAATTAGTACCCTAAGTATCAGAATCGATAGATTTTTTTGCTCACAATTTCGAGAGAACTACTTTCTCAATGCAAGACAACATCTATGCGATCGGAGAAATTATTCTAAGATGCCTTTCGCTCGCCGTAAATATCTGATAACTGAACTGTTAGAAAATACCTCGTCTTAGTAGTTGTTTAGTCCTGCACAAGCAGAAAGAAAAAACAGATTAACAAATGAAACTTTTAAAAAATATCGTTTAGAGACATGTATATTGGTTGATGTGAGTTGGAATCGCCACTGAGTTTTAGTCTTTTTTTTTCGGGACAAAATTTCGTTGGAAAGAATTTTCATTTTAAACCTATGGATTGGAAATCAATCATCACTGATTTCATCAGTTCTGTGTATTCTGGAAATATGCTGAAAAGCAAAAGTTGAGAGTAGAAGATTCAACGTGTCTATTTGTTCAAGAGATAGGTAGGTCTGTTTTTCAATTGATTGATCCTCACCCTCATTTCTCCAACAGCTAGATAATCTATCTCTCAGTCATATTTCTATTAACCGCAACAGTTTATTATCTCAATCGCCTGACCTAATTTTTTTTTACTTGCTTTAAATATTTAAAAATTTTTCACCTGACTCCTATGAAATACTTTCCTTACTTTCAAGTGCGTATTAGTTTGTCGTTTTTGTTTTGAAAAACAATGGAAGACTAAATGGTAACCATCTTCTTATATACGATCCTTCTTTTTCCTTTTTTACTTCCGAAATCAGCATGTTTGGGTTTTTCCCCGCTTTATAATAGGTATCTATTACATTTTATTTATGACAAAGAAGAGCAAGATCTTTTATAGATAGCTACGATCGATTACAAAAAGGAAGTTAAAAAAGTTATCTTTTAACATGTAATGTGATACTGATCATGAAGTAGGAAAAAACAAAACACAGTTCCCATTTGAAAAAACAAAAAAAAATCGTCGGATGGAAGATCCACACCCACGCCTACACATCCATATGAAACGTCGTGCGCTCGAGCTTGATATACTAATTTCTCTGAGCAATGCTCTTTAACATAAACTATAGGTTGCACTAATTCCTACTCACACAATTTTATTAATGGTTGCTCATATTATCAACAACATTATACATGCAAGTGTACATGTGTAACATATAAAGAAATAGCTGCAGCTGATATTTGTTCTAGTTCAGTGTGCCTATATGTGTTATTCTGCCTATCTAGGCTGGAGAGATATATTTAAAGCATGAGGTCTACCATAATAATTATATAACATTGATGTTTTTAATTTTTCTCAAGTTTTTGATTACACTGAGTTTTTTATTTAAAGCTGACGAAAAATAAAAAAAAGAGTTTAAGCAGCTTAATCAAGCCTCTCTATCAGGCCTATTGAAGAATAAATTGATTGATACCGTTTACTTGAATGATAGATACCTTAGTAATAAAAAGTGGCAATGATGAAACGTTATTTAAAAAAAAAGACACTGTCACTGGCAAACTTCATTACTGTTTCATACGCATATTTGACAAAAAAAAACATTTTTTTGTTTCAATTGTTATTATGCTTTGAAACCTTCGTGAACTTAGTTTTTATTCAAGTTGAAAATAGAAACTATACTAGTAATCGTTACTTATAATTAAATGATTGATTTATTGCCATAATATATGAAATCAAAGATAAAAATTACATTTTTGCTATTAGATGTTTCAATAATCTAGACACGACCATGATTAGATGTCATGTAATTTTAGTGAATCTAATCTCTTTTTTACCCATGAAATTCTATCATTTCCAAAAAATGGTTCACCACGCACAATAAATGTTGGTACACCAAATATATTATCTTGTTCAGCTTCATTTTCTGCATTTAAATATTCTTGTTGACCTTGATTATTAGCATAAGTTTGAAAATCTTGAGCAAATTTTTCAAATGAAACATTTTTATTTGATGTTTCATAAAGAATTTTAGTAATTTCATCAATGTTTTCAATATTTAATTGACGTTTAAAAAAAAGTTCAAATGTACGATAAGCATATGGAAGAAAAAAATTATATTTCTCAGCATATAAACCACCAATTAATGAAAGACGTGAATTAAATATACGTTGAGGACCACGAATAATCAGACCACGTTCATTAGCATAACGTCGACAATCCAAATATCCATATCGAACTTTATTCCAATTAAGTTTATTTCGTTCTTGAAGATTTCCACCAAAAGATTCTTCAATACGAAATGCCCATGGAATAAAACGTAATTGAATAGGATATTCTTTTTCTAATTGAAGTGCTGGTTCTAATGCCAAATAAGTATATGGCGATTTAAAATCATAATAAAATTTAATTATTTCACGTGCTTTTCCAGTTGTATATGAACGAACAAATCTTAATGGAAACATTTTTGAAGAAAAAACTAAAAAAAAATAAGAAGACAAACTGATATTCGTTAAACTGTTATTCTATTGTTTCAATTTTTTAAAGAAAAAAACAAAATCAACGAAAAAAACTATTTTGCTGTTATTAAATGATAAAATACGAATAAATATAAGACAAACTGACAGTAGAAAACATAAAAAGAACAAAAAAATTATCACACTATGCGTATGTTACACTACGTTTAGAACAAAATTAAGATTTGCAAGAAAAAAAAAACTTCGAAATGTTTGTTTCATTAAGCGATTTTTACATGTCCTTTCATTTGTGCAACACAGTTTTTTTTCCTCAGCTTGTCCAAGTAAAATATCTTCGAAATCTTCTCGAATATCTTGTCGTTGATGAAAATAAAAAACAATTTAACAAAATAATTTTCTTGTCTTTCTTGTTGATATATGTGTATTCCTCTTGTTCTTCTCTTTAAGTATATGATGATTCCATTTTTCTTAAATAGTACAAGATATTTTAAAAAAACAATTTATATGCATATCTATAGTCAAAAACAAAAGTTGAAGTAGAATTAGTTTTCAGTATTTTTTTTACATTTTGTTTTTCCATATTAAGAGGTATGAATCTGATTCAAATAGTGATATAGATAGTACGAGAGACCAGCTACATGATATATTATAGAACGCGACTCTGTCTGTTTATATAGATTTTTCATAATTAAAATAATTTTTTTCTATCAAACAATATTTTTAAGTGTCTTTCAGTATTTTGCATTTCCTAACCAAGAGAGTTTTCCTAAATTGAAAAAAATATATATCAATCGATACAGTTTATAAAAAAAAAAGATTTTTTCCAGAGTCGATCTTCACCTTCAAAACTTAGGAATAGTCAACAAAAGTGGAAAAATTGAATTACCTCCAACAAACTCCCTCTTATTACAATGTTTTATACACTGTTAGAAAGAGTATTCAAAACTGGACAAATATTGTATTTGTAGTTCGAATATCACTGATTTTTCACGCCCACCTTATTGAAATAATGTTTTGAGAAACACAGTTAGTTAGTCTTTTTTTTTTATTATTTTGGCGGTAGAAAAATGCTGACTATTCTCACTAAAACCAAGTTTTAAAGGTGACGATTGATCCTAGAAAAAATCTGCAGTTATAATCTGATAGAGCGTGAAATTCTCTCTCGATTGGTATATTTTTTTTGTCATTTTCGAAAAAATCTCTTGGTTAGGAAATACAAAATACTGAAAGACATTTAAACCTATTGTTTGATAGAAAAAAGATTATTTTAATTATGAAAAATCTATATAAACAGACAGAATCGTGTTCTATAATATATCATGTAGCTGGCCTCTCGTACTATCTATATCACCACTTGAATCAGATCCATACCTCTTAATATGAAAAACAAAATTGAAAAACAAAATCGGAAAAAATACTGAAAAACCAATTTCACTTAAACTTTTGTTTTTGACTATACCTTCCATTTCAAAATATTATGCCATCCACGGTTGTTTTGAACAAATTTTGATAGGAATGTCATAGAGACATGCGGTTTTTCATCATTCAAGAGCAACGACTTGAACCCTTCGAAGTATATAGAAATTACATTTATCAACAGTTGACTAATGGGATAAGCTATTGGTGCAGGTTTCCAAAAATAGTACACAGTGCTGACATTTCTAGACTGTGTCATTGGAGAATTAGAAGACTTCTTCTGAGATCTTCTATTTTAAACAATCGACTCGTAATTACTCGGTAGGGTTACAGAAATTGCGATCGCCCAGTACAATGACGTGCTCATTATGAAGATGTGCTTATATAAAGAGGTTTTACTGTATATCAATATTGAAAAGTTTGTTGAAACAATGAAATCTACAAGACTAGTGAGCACGTAACTACTGAGGTTTTTGTATAATTTTGACGTCTTTACAAATAAGAAAAATTAATGGATCTAAAACAATTCCGCTTTGATAATAAGTTCTTAACTTACATGATATAATTGGTGGTCTTTATTCCTACGCTGTTCGATTTTTTGGTGATTGTAGAATTGTCAGTCTGATCGATAGTTTTATATTGTGCGATGATGCATATTAGTTGTAATATCTAATCGTTTAGTTGTAGGATCAATATTTTTCAATTCAACTCAAGAATTTGATGTTGACATCACTGATTTATTAGCTTTGAATGATGCATTACGTACAAAATCATCATAAGAAAACTTTTGTTCTGGTTCCTTTTTGTTGAGATCGGCTGATATTTTAGTAGAAGGGATAATAGATGGTTTTAATGGAATAGGTTTTGGTTGTTTTTCTTTTCTTTTCATTGGTTTTTTAAACGTTGTTCTTCTGAAATTAGATAGAACAAAAACTATGAATTCGAAAATGAAAAAACTCACCAGCTATTTTTTCTTATTCTGGTGTCTAATATAGACATTCGAAGATCATGTTAATCAGTGCTTCATTAACTAGTTAGACGAGATTTATGAGCTATTTGCTTTAGTTTTTCACGGTTTTGATATTCTCCTTCAAGGTACTAACGAAAAACAATTTCTTTTATTCAATGATTTTTATCAAAATTAATTTATCTGGCACATCTTGACTTTAATCACATATTCATACTGATTGATATATATATATCCACGAGCAACACTGTGTGCGGATGAACCATATTGTTCTCTAAATTAAGCTACAATGCAAAAAAAAACACTATTTTATGCGAGTACAAATAAACAATAAAATTTAACCATGAATGAATGAATATTGTCATAGCTGACCATAATCTCGATTTACATTGGTATCGAATCATCCAATGAAACTTAATGTAGAGGTATCACAAGTAAATACAACATATATCAAATCAAATGGCTTCTATTTAAGGGCAGAAGCGTATAAGGACCTCTTTGAACCCACTTAAATTTTTCTCAGAAAAAAATATAAAAATGACATTCTTCTGTAGCGTTGTAACTGACGAACCTAACCATATATGAGTGGTAATGCTTCTCACTACAAGCTTGAGCATCATCCTAAGATTTTCTTCGTGTTGTGAGCTAAGCAGATAGATGCGTCATCTGAGTTGGAGTCACAAATTAATGAGCTTACCCATAGTGTGATCAATAGAACATGACTTGAGCTGCATTTTGATGCCAAATCAATAAAAAACTATATTCCGTTGAGCTCAAAATGGGCGAGTAAGAACGTTTGAGTAGTTCAAATCGACAAAAATGGATTCAATCATAAAACCACTTTTCATGCGTAGTGATCTTCTTTCTTATGTTCTATAATAATTTCGCAAAATCAAAACTTTGTCTCAACAATCCAGATGAAATTTTTATTTATCTTCTTTTTTGACTGAGCCCTGAAGGTGATCAGAGATGAATTTTTCAACGAAAATAAAAGTTGTTCGAACAATTTTAAATACGTATGTATCAACACAATAGTTGGTGAAGATTTCACTTATATTATTTATTTTTACTAGAAAAGTAATGAATCTGTTTAAAATTGGCAAATATAACTCAAAGAATGAACACTTTATCTATTCACATAAAAGGGTATTTTTTTGAGATATAAGTCTCTCAAGATCGACTCAACTAGTCTAGATTTGTAACCACAAATAATGACTTTCGTATTTAGAAATATTGATATTAAAGATGAAAAGCATTTATGCTACTCGTCAAAAATATCTCTTCAATGTCCATTCATCTTTACATACGCCAATGATAAAAATAAAAATAAGACCAACACTTATGGAAAGTTACTCAAGTTATAAAACAGACAATCTACACAAGTGCAATTATATGAATCATCTTTTTCTCAATTCTAAATCTTTATATTTAAACAAAAATAATCTGAAACAAAATTTAGAAAATTTATTATTTCTTTTTTTTTCGTTTAAAAGCTTGTATCACACCTTATGTTTAACGATTTGGTTTTATCAAGAATTCTTTTTTATCATTCCATAATAGATGAAAGCAAAATATCTATTGAAAAAGAACGCAATAAACATCTAATCGAGTTTTATCATATCCACCACCATTCATAATAGGACTAATAGTTGTTTCAGATCCATCTTTAATTCGTGTAACAATCATTGTTTGATAATGATGAAAATTATCAATATTAAAATAAAATTGTTTGGGTTCCCATTTTAGACAATCTTGACATTGAGAACTTGTTTCATCGACTTACCATCGAAGAATCATTGTATCATTTTCATCTACTCGATGTAATGGTGAAGTCAAACAAATTTGAATTTTTACACATTCATTTACCTTAATTATTGGACTTGGAAGTATAAAATCCAACCCAAGATTAAGATCTGTCCAATTATTCATCCAATTCTTTGGAATTTTAGCAAATAATTTATCACTTGGTTTTTCTATGGATATTATTTTATAATTTATTATCCCTTTGTTAACAAAAAAACCATGGCCTTCAACATAAATATATCTAAGAGGTATATCTGTATTTTTTTTAAAGAATATTTCTTCACATGGACATACATCACCTGTTTGAAGGGAACATTTTTTTTTCCGAGTACCATTGATCTTCATTTTTAGAACTATTTATTTCATGTATCATTTTGGAACTAAATTGTATGTAATTTCTAATTTTAAAAGAATGTGAATTATAATACCAATGTTCAGAAAATGAATCATGCATGCCACTACCATATTTCCACATTGCTGTATACACACAATATACTGGTATCGAGTTGAACATAATTTTTCAATTCAGGAGAATCTGGTGTTGCATATGAAAAATGTTGCGCATGGCATATTAATGTAATTGATCGTCTGAATCGATAAGATGCTATTGATAAGCTCGTTGATTGGTTTCATCTACTGTAAAAAGATAACGATCAGCAGATTCTTCCGTTGCAAATATTATTTGCGAAGGAAAATACGGTTGAAGACACTGAATTTGAAAATTCCATAAAACAAATGATATAAAGTGTACGAATATTTTTCGTATCATTGTATTGTTTTCTGTAATGGGAATTTTTTTTTTTTACTTATCTATTTCCAAATGGATATTACTATCTGTTTATCTATTCAAATAGGTTGTCTTAAAATACATTGGTATTTATATATGTGTAAGTGTTTGATTCTTATTTATCATATGGCTACAATTTATTTTTCTTTTAATAATGCATCGTAAGTGCATCGTCAATATATGATGATTAGACAAAAAAAACACATACTGATATTCTATTTTTCTTTTATCAATCATTCACCTTGTACTCTCATTGGCTGCATACTTTTTTTAATTACTCTTCTGATGCATATTTTTATGTCAAGAGACCCAAAGTTATCTAACCTTACATGACAGTTTGTTTTTCGTTTCTTTCATGGAATATACTACAATTTATTTTTTCTATCAACTTTCAAATAAAACAATTATTGATTTATTCAAAACTAAAATAATAAACAGCATAATTATCTTCAGGGTGACAGTTGAGATAAAATTGGTTGTTGACGGCTTTGACTAAACATGTTGTCAAATTTATGAATAAATGCAAATGTCTATACAAATATTTCAATGACAAAACTATGAAAAGGGCAACGTATGGTCTTTGGAATAAAACAAAAAGAATAATGTTTAGCTGTTCTATTTTCAATTATTCTATGTATCATAGTGGACGTGAGAATTTAGTTAAGTTTGGAATGCGCGAAGTAATTTGAAAATTCTCCAAGAAAAAGAATTTATAATGAGAATAAAGCTTCATCAACAATGTGAAATAATTCATTTGCATATGAGTCTACAAAACAAACTCACATAAAACATAACGATAAAAATAAATGTCTTTTTTTTTCTCCTTTCTATTTTACTAATCAAAAGGATGTGGGTGTCAGTTTTCTTTTCATAGTTACCAATACTCACACACAGAATCTTGTTCACAGCTGCGCGTTGTTCAAGTCGAATGAAAATAATCGATGGTTTCAATTAGAATTTATAGCACTGTAATTGTGGCGACACCACGAGAAAAAGTAGTCAATGTTGACAAACAAAGTGACAGTTTTTTTGTATAAAATAGATTAATTCTTGCCGAATTTCTAGCAATGCAATGAAATACGTTCCCTCATGACTTATATGAGGGAAAAGTTATATTCCAGATTGTCATTGAATCAGATATACAAGAGAAATCACTTTGTTGACAATCACGGAAGAAAATGAAAGTCCAATGATCGAACTCCTTCTACGTTGACTGAAAGGAAGAAAAATATAGGCTCGGAATTTCTTTTGCATAAAGTTTGAAATCTCGAAATTACTTCAATCGTTTGCTACACTGATCATTGAAACATTTGTTGTCAAGGTTTCTCTCTTTCTTTTTTGAGATATTCATCACAACACTCTCGAGAAAAAAGAAATAGAATTCAAATAAAGAAAAACGCTGCAAGACAAATGCAGCATTTTTCATTTTCTCGTGTAATGAAATACATTTAAAAAAACAAGAAAAAGAAACTTGAAAGTAAAAGTTTGTAATCAAAGTAGACGACGTAACTGACTATCAAGGTAAGGTACGTTATTATTTTTTACTTAATGGGGTGCGGAAGTAGTTCGGCTGTCGCTATTGCTCCCGTTCAAGCTGGGACTCAAAATAACATTAATAATCAGCAGACTAGAATACCAAGCGCACGAAATAATGTCGTGAAGCGAATATCGAGTTCTTCATCTCAGAAAAGCATTAGCAAAAGTATAACAAGTGTCACATCTCACAAAAGTACTACTATTATTAAACCATCGACTCCACCGAAAAAACCTAAAACTCCTTCACTACATTCGGAACATGAGATCAATCAATATCTTGTCATTATTTGGGTGGATGCAAATATTGATCAATCAAGAAAAGCATATCATGATTCAGTGACTAAACTTCAACGCATTACATCTGCGGTCTATACATGTACTAATTCTGAACAATGTATAAATTATATTGATAATATTGACGACAAAAAGATATTTCTGATTGTATCGGATGATTTAGGCGAAAAAATCGTACCTCTCGTACATGATAAACCACAGGTCGACAGTATTTATATATTTAGCCAAGTAAAGCGACAAAGATTAACTTGGGCAAATAAATGGTCCGAAAAAATAAAACAAATTTTGTTTAATATGGAAGATATTTTTCAAAAGATTAAATTTGACAGCGGTCTGGTTGGTAGCCTAACTTCAATTAGCATTATACGTAGAATAGATATTCCAAGCTTAATTGGAAATGAACTAGACCAGTCATATATGTATACACAATTACTCAAAGAGATCCTACTCGAAATGAAACATGATTACGAATCAAAAAGTAAGTTGATTGAATTTTGTCGAACACAATATGCTGACAATATTCTTCAATTGGGTTTAATCGATGAATTTGAACAAGAATATAATAATGCTTTAGCCATTGAATGGTATACAAAAGAATCATTTCTTTATGTAATGTTAAATCGAGCTTTGCGAAATCAAGATATTGAAACGATCATGAAAATGGGATTCTTTCTACAGGATCTTCATCAACGAATTGCAGACATGCATATTAAACAATCTGAAAGTCGTGATCATAATAAATTCATTGTTTATCGAGGACAGGCTATGATATCCGATGAAATAGAAAAGATACAAGCGAGTCAAGGTGGTCTTCTCTCTTTCAATAGTTTCTTGTCGACGACTCTCGATGAAAAAGTTTCACTTCACTTCGCAGAACAAGCATACAAAAATCCAAATGTTATCGCAGTTTTATTTCACATGGAAATTAATCCAAAGATCTCATCGGTTCCATTTGCTTTTATTGACAAACAGAGTGCATTTAAATACGAGAGTGAAATTCTTTTTTCTATGCATACCGTTTTTCGAATTATGGGCGCACAAAAACTTAAGGAGAGATTTTGGCAAGTCAATTTAGCCTCGACAAGTGATAATGATGAACAACTCAAAATGCTTACCGATTACATGAGAAAAGAGCTTGGAGAAGGTACTCCACTGAGCAAACTTGGCCATCTAATGCTTAAAATGGGTGAGTTCGATCAAGCTGAAGAAATATATGCACCACAACTTGATTCAACTGATGAAAAGAATTGGCGTAAACATTTTCACCTAAATCATCAACTTGGATACGTTTACAGTGAGAAGGGTGATTTTAAGGCTGCACTTTTATACTATGAAAAGGCACTTAAATATGAACTAGATTTTTTACCGCCTGACGATCCTTCGCTTGCCACGACGTATAATAATATTGCTGGAGTGCATGAATCATTGGGAGACTATAGATCTGCACTCTCATCTTATCAAAAAGCACTAGAAATAAAAGAGAAATCTCTTCCTTCCGATGATCCTACACTAGCTACAACATACAGCAACATTGGTTTAGTACATAAAACTTTGGCAGACTTTACGAGTGCACTTTCATTTTATCAAAAGGCACTAGAAATTCGACAAAAAACACTTCCACCTAATCATCCAGATTTTGGACATATATATGGTAATATTGGTGGACTACATCAAGACATGGGAGACTATTCAACTGCTCTCAAATTTTACCAACAGGCACTCGATATTCAAGAAAAATATCTTCCTCCAAAGCATCCAGATTTAGCTTCAAGCTACGCTAATTTTGGTTCTATTCATAGTACGATGGGTGACAAGTCAAAAGCACTAGAATATTATATAAAGGCACGTGATATTCGAGAATTATCTCTTCCTAAAAATCATCCAGACAAAGCAAGCAGCTATAATTGTATCGGCTCAGTATATAGTTCCATGGACGATTATTCTAATGCGCTTTCATGTTTTGAAAAAGCGCTCGAAATTCAAAAGCAAGCTTTTCCAGAAAATCATCCAGCTTTTGCTAATACTTACAATAACTTTGGTTCGGTCTATAGTTCGATGGAAGATAAATCAACTGCTCTATCATACTATCAGAAAGCACTTGAAATTCGAGAACTTTCACTACCTCCAAACCATCCCGATATAGCTACTAGTTACAATAACCTTGGTACAATCTATAGCGCCATGGAAAATAATCAAAAAGCTTTATCGTCCTATGAAAAGTCACTCGAAATCGAACGAATTTCCCTTCCTTCAAACCATCCGACATTTGTTACTACATACAATAATATTGGTTTAGTTCATCAATCCTTGAATGATTATTCTACTGCACTTTCTTTTTATCAAAAAGCATATGAAATCTGTAAAAAAAATCCTCAACTCAGTGAGTCCGATGAAGCTGCTATGACTTACAACAAAATTGGATCAGCGCATCATGCAATGGAAGAGTATTCTACTGCTCTATCATTTTTCGAAAAGGCACTTGAAATACAAAGTAAATCTCTTAATCCTAAGAATCGTAGTTTGACTATTACGTATAGTAATATGGGTTTAGCCTATCACGAGATAAATGATTATCAAAAGGCACTTTTATATTATGAAAAAGCGCTTGAAATTGAAAAAAAATCACTTCCTGACGATCATCGTGATTTGGCTACTTCATACAGTAATATTGGATTGGTATACTGTTCGATGAAAGACTATGCAAAAGCACTTTCATTTCATGAGAAAG